TATAGTGTGGAAATTAATGATGTGATCCCCTGCAGATTTTGTAAGTTTGCCCACTTACAAAGAAATGAAAGGTCTATAATTTGCATCATAGGTGTATTTCAAATGATAGACAAAAAAAACATGATACAAATGTTATAAATTGAGTTGCAGTTCAGTGAGTAAAATAAGTATTTGATCCCCAAGCAAAACATGACTTAGTACTTGGTGGAGAAACCCTTGTTGGCAAGCACAGAGGCAAGACGTTTCTTGTAGTTGGCTACCAGGTTTGCACACCTCTCAGGAGGGATTTTGGTCCACTCTTCTTTACAGATTGTCTCTAAATCCTTCAGGTTTCTTGGCTGTCGCTTGGCAACTCGAAGTTTCAACTCCCTCCATAAATTTTCTATACTTCTTGAGCCACTGCTTTGTTGCCTTTGCAGTATGTTTTGGGTCATTGTCATGCTGAAAGACCCGTCCACGACCCATCTTCAGTGTTCTGGCTGAGGGAAGGAGGTTCTCATCCAAGATTTTACAATACATGGCCCCGTCCATTGGCCCCTCAATCCGGCAAAGTTGGCCTGTACCTTTAGCAGAGAAACAGGCCCAAAGCATAATGTATCCACCTCCGTGCTTGACTATAGGGATGGTGTTCTTATGGTCATAGTCAGCATTTTTCTTCCTCCAAACATGGCGAGTCGAGTTAATGCCAAAGAGCTCAATTTTGGTCTCGTCTGACAGCAGCACTTTCTCCCAATCCTTCTCTGAATCATTTAGATGTTCATTGGCAAACTTCAGACGGGCCTGTACACGTGCCTTCTGAGGAGGGGGACCTTGCGGGCGCTGCAGGATCTCAATCCATGGCGGTGTATTGTGTTACCAATGGTTTGTTTGGTGACTGTGGCCCCAAGTGCCTTGAGATCATTCACAAGCTCCTCCCATGTAGTTCTGGGCTGATCCCTCACTTATCTCCTGATCATCCTTACCCCATGAGGCAAAATCTTGCATGGAGCTCCAGACCGAGGGTGATTGATGGTTATTTTGCATTCCTTCCATTTGCGAATAATCACTCCAACAGTTGTTTACTTCTCACCAAGCTTCTTGCTGATAGTCTTGTAGCCCATTCCAACCTTGTGCAGGTCTACAATCTTGTCCCTAACATCCTTTGACAGCTCTTTGGTCTTACTTATGGTGGTGAGGTTTTAATGGAAGAAAAAGGTTCTGTGGACAGGTGTCTTTTATATACATAACGAGTTGTCATTAGGAGCACCTTCTTAAATTGACAGGAGTCCTCTGTGTACAGGTGCCTATACACTGCTCGATTCTCGTATGCCCATATGTTAACACAAAAAATGTATTGTCTTAATGCTTTAACTAGGAAATAAATTGCTTTACAAAAACGGAGGAAAGTTTGGTCTTGGCGCAATAAGAAAATAAAAGATACAGCGGTTGTAAAGTTTTTGCAATTATCACTTTTTTCCCTTCCTGGGCTTCCAATCCCATTTAATGGAGGCACACTTAAAAGCATCTTGTGCTGCTCCCAAAGGGGAAGCTTTTTTGATTATCCACCACAGTGGCCTGAATTGGGAGCACATTTAATAAAGAAGAGATGAAGGAGCAGGGGTGTGTAAGGGGTAGATATGGCTGAGATGAATACGAAATCTGGGCCAGCCACTTCTGCTTTCTAATTAAGTCATATATTTAATTATCATAAGTATCACCGTAGCATGCCAGAGAATTATGTGTCAGAAGGGACAGCGTTTGGAAAGCGGAATGAGTTCCATCAGCCTCTGGGGCCGGAACATGGTGTGGAAAGGACTGACGCCGAACTCGGCTCAGCAAAGTATAAATTAAACCCATGAAATGTGCAGAAATAAAATAGCAGACACTAAAAACTTGTGCTGTAAGTACAATAAAAGTCACTTAAATGTGCTAAAAACTTTACAACCATTTAAGTGTCCTTCCAGATAAGCTGATCACGCTCCGATCAGCCGCCGGTTCTGGTAATTCTAATTATATCCATTTGTGAAAACTGTTAGAAAGTGAACCTGTCAGCAATTTTACACTTTCCAAAGTAACAGTCCTGCCTGAGAGTAGGTACCACTAAATTAGTCATAAAAGTCTGTGTGCCTCTCTCTGACCATGGTTTCACTTTATAGCTAAGAGGTTGACTTCTCTGACTTTAGGACTAACCCCACCCCCCTGCTATCCTTCTGATATCAAATCTGTGCACCACAGTAGCCATGCAGGGCACTCTTATTGGACAGGCAGTAGTGGGAGGGGCACAGCCTTTAAGAGACACATCAACATGCCATGCTTCTAGTTAATGTACTA